ATAGAAATAAAATCACAATTGCGCAAGTTACTAATGTTTCATCAAAATTTTATACTTTTGCGATCAGTTCTGCCTGGTTGACTTTACCCAATTTAATATAAGTTTCTCTAGCCATGTTCTAAATTTACTTAGATGTTACATGTTACGTTACCAAGGTACATCAATTACCTATTCTTGTCGAATCAGTCCGCTAAGGGTCTAGCTAGACAATTTTAAAATTCAATACAGTAATGTATAAGTGCAAAAAGTAAAAAATATATCATTTATATACCGCATTGATTAAAATTATTGTTTCAAGCATAATTTTACAGCAATATTACTATAACTTGGAGCAATTCTTTAATAATTAATTAGTATTTAAGTAATGAATTTGATGATTTAATTATGAATAAGAATTTATACATAATTTTTAATGTGTTTATTTTACAACACTTGCCAAAATCTAAAAAGGCTAATTTGACGTCAAAATTGGTCACTCACCTAATAATAATAGCTTTTATATATATAATTTTAACTTATTATTTTGCGAATTATTATTAATAATGGCGTAAAAATAAAGTTTTTATACATTTTCTCTTTTTAACAATATAATCTTCAATAAACCACAAATAGATAATATTCTAGCACATTGTATAGGTAAATTATTATGTAAGTATATTTTCGATGTTCCAAAGTCATGAAAACGGTTGGAGGTGTATTAAGGCTAAATTATTATGGCTAAAATGTATAAGACTAGATTAAAGTGAAATTTAAATGGCTCCATCAAAACATTTTTGATGTAATCGTATAGAAAGTATGATGTGGTAATGGATTTAAAGTAAAGGGGACTTACATTACAATTACAATAATATCGAATTGTTTAAATTCTAATTCTACAGTCGTACCTATGTACAAAGGGGACGCCAAAAGATATTTGAGCAATTGGATGCTGTATAAAATATGTGAAAAATTAACAAAATACGAGAAATTATGACTTTTAAGGTCAACTATGCGAACATAATCATAAAAGTTTAACTTATGAATATTTTTATTTTATTACTAATTAATATTTGAAAAAGGATAAAATTTATTTTAAAAAGATTTTAATTATCATTAACACGTGACGCACAGATATAGATATACCTAGATAACGCGAATGCACCTACTTCGCGTGTCCCGATCCCGATAAATCATCGGAATGAGCTGCCGCTGCTCACAGTCCACGCGCGTCTGTTGTTGCATGCGGACGGCCGCGAAAACTAGAAAAATGCCTCAATGTGTGATAATTAATTGCAATAAGCCAAAAACTTCGAGCTCCCAAAGGCAAGGACATATTTCCTATCACGGGTAAGTTATTTTGATATAATATTGAGTGTTAATTCATTTTAAAACAATTTTTTAAGTATTACAAGCGTTGGTTTCAAGAATGTACCTAAAAACTTATAACTTACCATTCAAACAATTTTTTACGATACATTGCCGGGTTTGTTTTGAGCGTTTGATCTGACGTTATGTGTTTAGAGGCGATGTATAACGGACAAGCGCCACTGTCGCGCATCGCTTCGACTTCGTTGTACACGCAACTTCTCATTCGTCTGTCAAATTTTGCTACTAGTGTTGTTCGTTCTACTACTTTAATCAATAAATCGATTCTTATCGATATCGGACAGACGAATGATACTAATTTATTATTAAAAAATAACTCTCATATATAAATAAATATTCTAATTAATGTGTATTTGTAGTATTTATTTATGACTTTTTTTCCTAGTTTTCGATTTTAAAAAAATGAAGATAATGGATTAAAGAAACACCACAACAACCTCTATTGTTGTCAAGGAAGAGAAAATTAGAAAAAGTATAGTATAGATATATGTATTTTCATGTAAAAGTATTTATAATAATGTGTGTACATACATATAAGAAATAATGATCTGCTGATGATGATGTAGATTGTAGAGAAATGAATACAAGTAGTGTACGTGATTTTGATGATTTTTATAAAACATTGCCACAAATAACAGAATTTTGTGACCAAATAATCACATAATATTGCTGGATATGTTATAAGAGCAATACAAAATATCTACGAGGCACCGTTGTCGAGATATTGATATTTTAATAAAAACTTAAAATGTATTTTATTCACTATTTAAAGTAAATAATAACATATTTTAAGTTTTTATTAATACGGGATCGTGTCTAAAATTAGCCTTTTAGAATTCAATGAAAATATTATCTATTTAAACATTCCGTTTAATATCATTCGTCTGTATATCTCATTCGTCTGTGTATCTCATTCGTCTGTCAGATAATCGATGCCATTTCTGTGATCGTAGCGGTGCGTTGGGGCAGCGGCGGCATCGGCATCTTTGAATCGATTACGATTTCCCGTCACTAAATGTTGTCTGTGACGTCACAGTAGGTATTAAAAAGTCGGCACGCTTGGTTTTAATACAGATCGTGCTACTTGCGTTATCTATGTATATCTATATCTGTGATGTATATCTATATCTGTGACGTGACGACTAGCTTAGGAATGAAATATATTGAATTACATAACTACTTAATAAAATATACAATATCCACCTAGGAATCCCACTAGATATATAAAAATATCATTTTAATGCATCATATTCGACACATAAAATATAATAATTGCTATAACCCTCACTATATGTCATTGAAAGGAAGTAGATAATAAATAAATGTATAAAATATAAATAAAATATTAGCAAGGCCATTTTATAAAATAATTATGTAATTATTATGTATAATTTATTTAAGGATTCAGTTAGAATAACATAAGTTTATATGGCTTTGAATGGCACAAATGACAGCAAAATCAGGTTCTATATCATGACTTATCTGGATCTATATTACACCTTGATTTTATTTATTGAAATGCCAGGCCAGATGCAAAGCCTGAAATATTAAATTCAAGAACTGTTTGGGCAGAGTAAATTGTTTGTACGTTAAGTGATATGTTTGACAGTTAAAATAGTTTAAAACCATAAAAATTGTTTTTGGCTTTACATTATGCGTATCAAAATTATTGTGAAGTGTGTATAATACTATAATAATAGTAGCGCTAAATAAAAAGTTATATAGTTTAAAAGCATACTATGAAGAAATAACATTAATGCATTTGGTTTCAACCTAAGGCCCAGAACAGACGGTGAAACGCAACTGCAACGAAACTGCAACTGCTAGTTATTTTTGAGTTGCATCTAAGTTTCTGCCATAGCGTCCGTTAAGAGACAACACATGACGCGACCAGTTTGAAACTTTCCGTTTCAGTTTCATTCATCAGAATCATCAGAAAGTTGTAGTTTCGTTGCAGTTGCGTTTCACCGTCTGTTCTGGGCCTAAGTAAGTACTTGGTTGATTTAACCCATTACTTCCCAAGCATCGAAATCTTTGGAATTTTTTGATCAAATCTTGAAATTATGTTCATAATAGGCTAAGAAAAAATAATAAAAACAAAAAAATAAAAAAAATAGTATCTTTAATGCTGAGTCAGCCTGTCCTATAAATATGACAGTGGGGACATGTGATCAGAAATAATAAAAGATAACAATTATAAGAAAATTAGCAGTATTTGAAAATTTGTCCGTAAACAGCATTAAACATAAAGTTTTAGGAACTTATTTTGTATGGTAAGGTATAAAACAATCACTGCAGTGTTTTTTTCACATTTAGCGCAAAAAATAAGAGTTTTTTTTTTACAATCTTCTCCCTGGCAATGCCTCTATTTGTCCCTCTTCGTCATATAGTCGTCAATATTGATCATATTGTTAAACCTCACAGGTTGTAAAAGGCGTTCATATGTACCTGGTGCAGGTTTGCTTGCCTTGCATCCCGATTTTTTTATCCAAGAAAAAACCCTACGCTTGAAATCTTTCTAGATTTCAATATCTCATCTTTATTTACCTCGTTGTAAATAATAAATAATCCATGCATTCACTAGGGACATGTCTAAAACACGAATGATACCTAAGGCCAATACCATTTTTTGCCTCTGAAGCTGAAGATAATCTATTGATTACAGAATTGGACGAAAGTCAACGATAAAAATGTTTGAAGTTTTGTGAACTTTTTGTTCACTAATCCCCGTTAATGCCAATTGGAGCTTAAAAAACTTATAATGGGGAATAATGAACTAAAAAGTTCATTAATCCCCATTACTTTAAAAATAAAATCCTAATATAACGGGGATTAATGAACTTGTTAGTTCATTATTCCCCATTATAAACTCCAATTGGCGTTAACGGGGATTAGTGAACAAAAAGTTCACTCTTCCCCGTTGACGGGGATTGTCAATGGGGAATAGTGGAATAAGCCCATTGTTTTGCGGTATTAGATACCAGCTGGATTTCAGAATATACTGGATTACTAGAAGAAGTCGCCAGAACCTTCTTCCATGTCAGTCATTTCGTCCACTTCGTCCGGAGGTAATATGGCTACTTCATTATCGTCCAACTCCTCATCACTACAGTTTTCTTTATATCTGTTCGGCAGAGACCTTTTGAGTAATCTAAACACAAGACCCGCAAGTAACAAACAATTGACACGTTTGAACTAGTGCTTATCGTTGCAGATCCGAAAATGCTTTCGCGGCAAATTGTATAGACATGTTCCCAGTGTCATATTTATAGTACGGCTTATTTTGAAACATTACCACAAGTTTTTAAATTATGTTTTGTTTATGTTTAATTTTTTTATGTATTGGTAGATGTCTAAGAATCAGTTTTATGTAAATTGGAGTTGGCCAGTTTTTTTATATTATGGTATATAAAATCAAAATATGATGCTTCTTTTTGAGGCAACAAAAGTGTTAATTTGAAAAAATTACATTAAAATGACGGATACACTTTTTGCAGCCGAAAAAAATTATTTTATTAGAATAACAGTGCAAGAATACGAATTTTGTCAAAAACAATAAAAATTAGTTTATTAACTTGTAAAAAAAAAATGTTGAATATGGTGTCCTAAAAATAGGACAGTGGGGAGGAATGGGTTAAGTCGAGTGTCGTTTAGGCACCCAGTTAAGTCAATAAACCCAAGGTTCTGTAAGTCACTTTCATGAACATAATTATATTTATACACCAGTAAAAAGAAGGTACTTCAGTACACTATCAATATTTTTATCTCACTAATTTACTCAATTCATTTTCGTTTCTTGGATCTTTACAGAACATGGATTCTTAAAAATTCTGATTGAAGTAAGGTCCAGCGGCGTTCAGAGATTTTTTTACTAATTCAAGCCACTCATTTTTAGCAAATCTATTCGTTCTTCGGTTGGTAGGCACCGATTGCCTACTCTAATCGAATTACTAAATATTGAATTCAATGTTTAGAGATGCGCATGGCCATTAGATGGCGCTTAAGCTTTAGCAAATGCTTGTCATTCCATACAATAGCGAACAAAATAACGTTACGTTATTTGTTCAACGTTGACGAGCAGTCAAATACAAAAGTTTAAAATTAAAGTTATGCAGTCGTTAAGTCATCAGAAGATTCGTCTTCTTGCAATGCTTGGGACTTGGCCCCCTCATGGTGAGGGAGCGACAGGGGGGCGCGTATCACCGCGCGGACTGCACGCGTTTGTCTTCAGGGCCGTTCTCCTTCTGGACCTCCTGGCTCTGGTCCCGGGACTCCTGCACCGACTCCAGGTTGATGTCGAAGGATTGTTGTCTGCGAAGAAGAATGGAATGAAGAAAATCAGAGAAGGAGCTGGGAAAAGTGTGAAAGGGGAAATGGCAATGCCAGATTTTGTATGGAAGGTGGCGTCTTTTTTTTTTCGCGCGGCCATCGACCAAACTTTGTTTTTTGATTACAAAACAGTGTAATGAACCAAACTTACTATGGCATGTATACCTCTAAACTCAGTCTGAACTGAGTTACGAGCATTAGAAGTTTAATGATTTTCATACTAGATTTGCTTTTTGCGCGCAAGTTTTCCAAGAAATTGTAACAAAATATTGCGTTATTTTTTTATTTGCTCTGATTCTGCTGCATACTGATGTCTGGAGCCTTTAATGGATGGTATTGTTTGTTTACACATACAATGTCATTATTTTGTTGCAATTTCTTACAAAACTTGCGCGCAAACAGCAAATCTAGTATGAAAATCATCAAACTTCTGATGCTCGTAACTCAGTTCAGACTGAGTTTAGAGGTATACATGTCATAGTAAGTTTGGTTTATTACACTATTTTGTAATCAAAAAACAAGGTTTAGTCGATGGCCGCGCGAAAAAAAAAAGACGCCAATTTCCGGCATTGTCTTTTCTGTAGCACATGCTACGCAAGACTCACGTGAAGTGACAATAGTTACACTGACGCAATTTCTAAACAATATCTAGCAGGATACAAATCATTCCTGATAGGCAATGCCTCTCAACAAGGTCAAATATCCTACTTGATATAAGAAGATAGTTTAAAAAATAGTACAAATCCTAAACCGTAAGATCACAAAGAAATATTTATCATTTGACTACATAGACTATCTGTCAGAAACCATACTTACTTCTTGGCGGAGTATACTCCACTCTAGTATCGTTACCAAAAACGGATGAAATCAGTTCTAATTCTAACCTCTAACCAGACCTTGCTACTGATCTGTTAGTATACTTTACTGACAGGGTCCTGCTCTTTCTGACCAGCTATTGTGCCATTTCTAACTCAGATCCACCTCTATAACTACTGGACTTGCTACTGACCTGTCAGTGAGGTAGTTCCCCGGCGCTGACAGCGACCTGCCCGCCCTGGCGAGCTGGCCACGCCTCGCTGCGCACTTCTCAAGCTCGCCGCGCCCGCTGCCTGACTCCCGCCGTGCTGTGCTGCCCTCTCGGCTTCGGAGGAACGGGTTCTGGAGGCAAGAGGACGATGATTAAAATTTACTGGTTGGGTTTTTATTGACGGCCAAGTCCTAGGACCTAGACCGGGGATCTAAAATCCTGGAGTTGCAGTGGTGAAAAGGAGGGGTGGGAACAGTCCCGCATGATCACAAATTCACTTGGTGAGACTAATTGGACCGCCACTGGTTGGGTTCTTATTCAAGTCAAACAGTAGATCCTGGATATACAGGAGTTGCTGCAGTGGGAACAAAAGGTGGGAATGGTCCCATTTGTGAGATTGAGAAGAGAAAATTAATGGCCATTGAAGGAGATAGGAGGCGGTAGCGTATTTCAATCCAGCACTCGTTATGAGCACGATCATTTATATCCGGCGATATGGTAAAAGCTCTGCTTAGTTTGGGGTAATTATGTCTTAGGTAATTAATTTGTTGTGATAGTTGTATCAATTTATCTACTTCATGGATATCAGTGTCAATAAATTCAATAATATCACACGAATACCTCTATCGTGTGGACTATTTAATTTTCTAAAGTGATTAAAGGAGTGTGAATAAACGTACCTGGAAGCTGTGTTTCTTGAGCATGGTCTTGATGAGTATGAGCGTGGAGAGGTTGGGGATGGAGGTGACGACCTGCGCCATGTCCTCGTCCGTGACTTCCACGAGCCGACAGTTCTCCTGCTCCGACGGCAGCGGCTCCTGCCCGGAGTTCGTTATCCATTCGTGGTCCTGGGAATGGGAATAGATTTACTTGTTATATCATTGACATTTTGGATGTTAAACCTCTTGATTATAATCTGGAAGTTTTATGATACCGGCCGTTAATAATAATAATAAATACACTTTATTGCACACCAAACAAATAACATAACAGAAGAAAAGGAACACACAAGGTACAATTAGGCGGTCTTATCGCTATGAAGCGATCTCTTCCAGACAACCTATGGTGAGGACAGTTACTTGAAACAAATATGAAGGGGAAGGCGGTGTCGACACTAAAGAAATAAATTATAATAAAAGGCATACAATTTAAACCAAAATAATACATACAAATAATACACAAAATATATTAATATATATATATACATATATAAATTATAATATATACTTACATACACATACAATTCTAGATACGAACCAAAGATAGAACTAGATAGCCAGCAGAAAATAGATGGGAATTTTAAGAAGCTTAAAGGAATACAGATGTAGGGAAATTATGAGGCTGGACGTAATAGGATATCTAAGAGTCAATATTTATCTTGCTTATAGAATTGGTGTCAGATTGAAAATGCAATAAAACAGTGATGTATTTATTTGTGACCTCTACATGTGACCGTATAACTCAAGAGACATTGCAAGAAGCAAGAAAGTAGAAGTACTTCTTACACCCGTATTCACAAACGATGCTTGCTTAAGTGAAGCAGCAAATCGAACGCACAGCGTTGAATAGAGCCCTGTGATTGGTTTATGTGCGTCCACGTGCACTGTGGGACCTAATGTTAGTAAAATACGGGCGTAAGTCTAGACCAACGCGACCTTCTGGAAGAACGCGAATAAATTGCAGTTGGAGCTGACCTTAATCTGCTGCATATTGGCCCTCGTTGCCGGGTTCTTGTCCAGCATCCTTCCCAGCAGGTGCTTCAGCTGCCGCGACAGCTGCGGCCGCTGCGGGAACGCCAGCGGCTCGTCCAGGACCCTCCTCTGCAGCTCGGCCGCCGTGGGCCCGCCCCAGGGGACCTTACCCGTCACCATCGCGAATAGCGTCACTCCTAACGACCAAATGTCAGCTGCCTGGAACAAGTTGATTTTGAGACTATTGTAGAACAGAATTGACCAGTCCCTGAAGAAATATTGTATTTGATATAGTATCTTTCAGTAAACCAATTTATAGTTACATGGGAAGAAGAAGGTTCTAAAGCTTCTCATTGTAACGAATGTGGACTAGTTTAAAAATCAAGACTATAGCAAGATGGCTGTTGTATGGCCACTATCAATACCAGCGTCATTAAATAATTCTGAAGGTTTTATTCTAGCAATGTTGATCTTAGCGACCAGCTCAAATATTAGAATTTTCTGCCAAACATCATCTTCTTACCCGGTCCCTCACTGATGAGGATCGCAACCACATATTATAGCGTTCCATCACAGTCTGTGGAGCACAAAAAATCTGTGTGAAAATCACAGATTCAAAAAACCTGTGACTGGAGATTAATACTTGATGATGCTTGCATACCTCTCCATTATACTTGTCGGCGTTGGCCGCTGCCTCAGGTGCCCTGAAGGCTGGCGTGCCCACAGCCCCAGTCAGTCTGCCGGCTCCGGCCAGCTCTCCACAAGCCCCCAGGTCTGCCACTTGCACCCTGCCCTCGCCGAGGAGCAGGTTTGCAGGCTTGATGTCCCGGTGAGCGATGCGTTGGTAGTGTACTAAGAAAATAGAGCATGAAATAAAGTTTCCCACTAATATTATAAATGCGAAAGTTTGGATGTCTGGATGTTTGTTACTCTTTCACGCAAAAACTACTGAACGGATTTTGATGAAACTTTACAGTATTATTGTTTATAACCCAGAATAACATATAGGCTATAATTTATGACGGTCTGTGACAAACTAAATTTCACGCGGGTGAAACCGCGGGCAAAAGCTAGTGAGCACATAATATTTTGATTTCATTTATTTTTGAAAACTTACAATATTCTACTCCTAGTAGCGCGTCCCTGAAGTACTTTCTCGCCAACAGTTCGCTGAGCGGGTTTTCGGTGGGGATGTCTATGACGGGACCCCCTTCTAGCAGCTGGAAGACTAAGTACAGCTGGTCCTCTGCAGGGTCGTCCAAAACCTGGGGGTTGGTAACAATTTTGATGAGCGGATCCTACGCGAAACACTAAGCCAGTACAGCACAGAGTTGGGAATGCTGCAAAGTAATCTAAACGACTAATTCATTGCTTAAGCAAACAGTAGGTTTTATCAGCTCTTAGTGAGTTTAGGCAGTAAATCAGGCGTTATTTTATTTAGAGAATATTGTCACCAGAATAGTCTAGCGGCGGCGGGGATCGAACCCGCGTTCCTCGGATCACGAGTCGGCCAGTCCGACACCTTCACCGATCGGCTATTGTCACTTCAATTTGGCAAAATTAAACGTTTTTCCTTTATTTCGAGGTGACATTCTTAGCCCATTCTAGCCTTAGTCTTAGCTTACCTCCACTAGCTTCACAACGTTCGGGTGGTCCAGCTTCTTGAGCACGGCTATTTCCCGGTACACCCTCTGCAGCGGGTCGGGCGGCGGCCCGCGGCCCGGCGTGCGCGGGGGCGCCCGCCCGAAGAGCCCCGCTCTCCGCATCAGCTTCCTTTTTGACAAGATTTTCATTGCCTGCCAAACAGATACGATATTAAACTTTCGCGTTCCATTCCATCCTTCCATTCATCCGGTGATTGTTAAATGCAAACCGCGGATTTTGCCGTCAAATACGAATACGGATACTGTGAGTGTTGTGTGTTGTGGTAACATCACTAGTGGTACGGGACTATACCCACCTCTCGTTCCCACCACTGCAACTCCTGTGTAGCCAGGATCTACAGCTTGACCGCTACAAAAACCCAACCAATGAAGGTCAAGTTTGTCCCGGGGGAAAGTTAAACTGTCATTGGACCCGCAACGAAATTAATCAGAAGAACATAGGAGGAGTTCGAAATTAAGGTTCGACTTCCCTCCATTGCAAAGCGGAAGACAGGTGACAAGCAAGGGTTTAAAACCTTTAAGAAAAGATTATGCACCACGGACAATAAATATCAATTAAGGGGGCCTATCTAGTGGTAGTGTAACAAATGACAATATGAGGGTAGTTGAAAATTTTCAAGCCCGCCCGAACGGACGACGCCGCGAGACGCCAGTCTGCTTGTGACCACGGCTTCAGCATCGCAGCCGAAACGTAAAGCCGTGGGTACATAATGTAACTCATGAATAAACGTCGCGTTAAGACCCGTGTCTTACTATTTTAGTTGAAACAGGTAGGATATTTTGAAACAAGGATGATATGCCAAGTCGTTGAATTATCTAGAACTCTTTATAATTTTCGAATTCGTTATAAAATGAGGAAACTTACGTAGTGTGTGTCATCTTCTTCGTTGTAAGCTAACTTGACGATACCGTATGAACCCTGCAAAAGAAAAATTGTTTAAAAACCTGAAAATTCTCATTCCTGCTTATTCTAGTGCACACATCAGTAGCATAGTAACTCCTGAGCCGGTCTTGGCAAAGCTATGCTGACATAAAGCTGGCTTCGTTCTAGCTTTTTAGTTGTGTATTGAAGTTTGTTTCTTTATGTATATTCTATGGTTCAGCTGCTGCGAGACGAGTTGCCGCGACTCGATCAGGACCCAATGCGGCCGAGGCGTGCTATGTTAACATTTGGCTCTAGCTTTGCTATTTTTGTTTCTGCGTGGCGAGCTGTGCCCGCACTCGGCTCGCTTCACTCTAGCTTTGTTATTTTCTGCAGTAGCTCAATGTAGCCTCACCTGTCCAATAGGCTTCAGCAGCCGGTACTGGTTGAGCTGCACGTAGCCGGGCGCCTGCGTGAGCGACACGCGACGCGAATCGCGTGGCACGCGGCGCGGGCGAGGCGAGCTGTGACTGCCCTGCGCTCGCTTCACTGTAGCTCTGTTATTGCCTACTGTAGCTCACTGTAGTCTCACCTGTCCAATAGGCTCCAGCAGCCGGTACTGGTTGAGCTGAACGTAGCCGGGCGCCTGCGCGAGCGACACGCGGCGCGACTTTAGTCAGACTTAACGCGACCGAGGCTATATTAGTCAAGATTAGCCTCGCTTCGCTTTAGCTGTGTTTACTTTACTAAATCTAGCGTCACCTGTCCAATAGGCTCCAGCAGCCGGTACTGGTTGAGCCGGGCGCCTGCGCGAGCCACACGCGGCGCGACTCTAGTCAGACTCAACGCGACCGAGGCTATATTAGTCAACATTAGCCTCGCTTCGCTCTAGCTGTGTGTGTTCGCATATTATTCAATGTAGCCTCGCTTCGCTCTAAAGCCCGGTCTGTGAGTACGTAGAATTTTGTCCAATGACCCCAAGCTACCCATCCATATCGCTCGCGCGTAATTATATTGCTGTCAGACTATAGTTCTGTGTTTACTTTACTAAACGTAGCCTCACCTGTCCAATAGGCTCCAGCAGCCGGTACTGATTGAGCTGCACGTAGCCTGACGCCTGCTAGAGCGATACGCGGCGCAAATCGCGCGGGCGCTACGAGCTATGTCGACGTTAGGCTCGCTACGCTCTAGCTTTGTGTCTATATGAATACTTAACGCAGTCTCACCTGTCCAATAGGCTCCAGCAGCCGGTACTGGTTGAGCTGCACGTAGCCGGGCGCCTGCGCGAGCGACACGCGGCGCGACTCGCGTGGCACGCGGCGCGGGCGAGGCGAGCTGTGACTGCTCTGCGCTCGCTTCACTGTAGCTCTGTTATTGCCTACTGTAGCTCACTGTAGTCTCACCTGTCCAATAGGCTCCAGCAGCCGGTACTGGTTGAGCTGAACGTAGCCGGGCGCCTGCGCGAGCGACACGCGGCGCGACTTTAGTCAGACTTAACGCGACCGAGGCTATATTAGTCAAGATTAGCCTCGCTTCGCTTTAGCTGTGTTTACTTTACTAAATCTAGCGTCACCTGTCCAATAGGCTCCAGCAGCCGGTACTGGTTTGGACTCGCGTGGCACGCACCGCGGGCGAGGCGAGCTGTGCCCGCTCTCAGCTCGCTTCACTCTAGCTTTGTGTTTGTCTACTGTAGCTCAATGTAGCCTCACCTGTCCAATAGGCTCCAGCAGTCGGTACTGGTAAAGCTGCACGCAGCCGGCCGCCTGCGCGAGTGACACGCGGCGTGACTCGCTTGGCACGTGGCGCGGGCGAGGCGAGCTGTGTCCGCTTTCAGCTCGCTTCACTCTGCCTTTGTTGTAGTTTACTGTAGCTCATTATAACCTCACCTGTCCAATAGGCTCCAGCAGCCGGTACTGGTTGAGCTGCACGTAGCCAGGCGCCTGCGCGAGCGACACGCGGCGCGACTCGCGTGGCACGCGGCGCGGGCGAGGCGAGCTGTGCCCGCACTCGGCCGACTTCGCCGCGTGCGAGCGAAGCAGGTTCGAGCGGTCGCCCGTCGGCAGGGTGGACAGTCTGCAAGGAGTACGCTGTAAGTATACCCAGTAATCCTACTAATATTATAAACTAGCGGCCGCCCGCGACTTCGTACGCGTGGATCACGTTTTATCTCCTTAGGGGTGGAGTTTCGTAAAATCCGTTCTTAGTGAGCACCTACGTTCTAAAAGGAACTAGCACTGTAGTTTCTGAGATTTCATGATGAGTGAGTGAGTTAGTGATCTTTTATACATAGAAGCTATGTTTAGTTTATTACCCTTTATCAATATGCTTCAATAACTGAACTAAAAATCAATACGGCAACTTGTTCCTTGGATGAAACTAAAAGTGGGGCTAGTCGCAGGAAGACTCTTGGTAGAGTCTAAAGCTAGTTTGAGACCCAAAACATAGGGACGCGCGCTTCCAAAACTTTTTCGTACTTCATTTCATTTATTTATTTTTCCACCATTAGCAATGTATTTTTTCACAAGCCTAAAAATATGCCTTGTATACGAGACGCTTGGGATGCCCCTATTTTTTGACTGGGCTAATGATAAGTAATTTATTTTTGAAAAAAGTTGGTCTTCTTTTTGTCCCGGGATTGGCGCATCTAAATCTGGAAACCCTGGACTGCTAGTGTCAATTTGGATAGAGGTTGAGTAATCGTGAATTGGAAAATAGCGAATTGCCACTGAATCGTAAAGAACAAAAAGAAAAATAACATTTTTAATAAGTTGTAATGTACTGAAATAGGTAGGTAGTTATAAAGGGTGGACAAAATTTTTTTGCAAATAGCAACGCTTGATTTCTCGAAAACGGTTCGAGGTAGGGAGGCGTGAGTGATGGGAAACTGTGCATAATTTCATAAATTTTTAGTCACTATGAAGCGCTTCATGAAACGAATTTTGTGTAAATTTTTCTACGCATCCCTACCTCGACCGTTTTCAAAGCGTTGCTATTTGCAAACATTTTTGGCTCACCCTGTATTTCCTAATTGGTAGTATTTTGTACGTTCAGAATTGTTACTTTGATCCGACCAAAAGGGCAATCAGGATGGTTATAATATCTGCGGGCGCGAGTAATTGGAAACAGTCAGAAAATCACACATGAAAGGAAATAGGAAGGCTATAGAACGTGACCGCACCGACTCAATGGAAATGAAGTTTCCGACCGGTTGGCGATTCATTCTGGAACGTCACGTACCCGCAAAATACGGGATTCGTCTTTTTTATTAGCTTACAAAAGCAACCTGCTCCGGCTTTGTTTAGATTTTAATGCCCATTTTGATTTTCCTTTTTTGTTTTTTTTTTTTCTATTCGATTTACTATATTGTATTGTGTTAATATTTTTTTACGATGATACGGCAACTGTATTATGCGAATCCGATTTACACATGGTTAGTTTTAGTTATTTGAGTACGCGTCATAATCTGGCTTTACAAGATACATAAGTTGGTAAATCATATTATACTATTGTACACAACGCAATAACAAAATAAACAAACAACTTTTTGTAACCTTCCGTTGACTTTGTGTGGATTATGTATTTATGTCTATTGTAGATGGATAAAAACACCAAGAGTCCAAAAAGAAATAAAAATGTCTAAGGCAGGGTTGCACCATCTAACTTTAACGGTAACTAAAACGATACCGGTGCTTTTTGTATGGAGTTTCACAGTTTTTGACGTTTGTCATAAGTTAAAATAAGATGGTGCAACCCAGCCTAAGAGAGATCTGTGTGCCTACCATGAGTTTACGTTAGGTGTGCTCGCTAGCCACTGCGTAAAAAAATGACATTCAAATGTATGACATATTGTGCAGCGCCCCTAGCGGCTACTTTCAAGAAATAAAATCTTCATAGAATTTTTTGACGTATTCGCTAGCGAGCTCACCTAACGTAAACTCATGGTAGGCACACTGTCTCTAGCTCGAATTCGATATCGATAGAGCTTTAAACTCTTCATATTTTTTCTGATTAATTTCATTGCGGTTCCGATAACATTAAGAACAATAGAAACTACTTCTCGGCAAAGACTATTAAAGAAAATCGAAAGCACTGTCGCCTATTTCCATGATGTAAAGTAGATACTATTTTTCACCCTTTTTAGAAGTGTTACCACCAGTTTCATTATATTATTACCTTAATAAAACCCACATAATACGTGGGCACCAATAACGTGCCACATCTAGTCGACAGGGCTCTACTGAGACAAAATATTTCCATTATCTCTGTCTCTCTCGTTCATACTAATACACATTGTGAGGGAGCGAGACGGTGATAGCCGAAATGGTTTTTCAGAGTGGGATCTAGCCTATAGCCGATAGTTTATGCTTGTCTTATCTGTTCACGACGGGGTAGGAATGGGCAGGAAAATTTACGGATATTACGTACTTTGTATCCGAAAAGATAGTTTTCAGTTTAGAGAAATAGATTCATGATAGGTACAGTTGTTATTTATTGTATCTGATAGCATTTATGATTATAAAGTGCAGTTCAGAGAAAAACAACGAACTTTTAAACTTTTTAGTTAACTTTTAGTTTCAGGAGAAACTTAGTTTTTATCGCTAGGATTGAAAATCTAACTTAATAAATTGTTATAAACCTTTTCGAAAATTTACTAAACGTATTGCGGGGAAAAACCAATGAAATTACAAAATAAAATGCATGTTAACAAATGTTAAAAGATCGACTAACCAATTTTAAAGGAGCAAAATTCAAGTTCATTATCATGATCATCATCATCATCATTTCAGCCATAAGACGTCCACTGCTGAACATGCTTCCCCCATTGATTTCTTCTACAATGGCCGGTGGGTGGCGGCCTGCAACCAGCGTCCTTTAAGAGTTTCAAGTTCAACCATTTGAAAATATCCGAAAGTGGGCATCCTTACCCGATACCTGTTAATAGGTAATACGGCCCAGAAGGTCCCGATAAGGGAGCATATTGGCCCTCACCGGCTCGTAAACCTGCGGCGAGAGGGAACCACTTTATGGCAAATAAGATGAGCCCAAATCTTATTAGCTCGAGGAAAAACTGTTTCTCTCCATTGTCTAATTCCTTGCTTTTAAGAACACATTTTTTATCCTCACGTCCCACAGCTGTTGGGCAAAAGATTCCCCTTTGTATTAGTTTGTTCGTTCGTTCGTTTCAGCCAAATGACGTCCACTGCTGGACAAAGGCCTCCTCCAAGGTTTTCCACAATGCACGGTCCTACGCTGCCCGCATCCAGGCTCTTCTCGCGACCGTTACCTCGCCGGTCCACCTAGTAGGAGGCCTGCCCACGCTACGTCTTCCAGCCCGTGGTCGCCACTCGAGAACTTTCCTGCCCCAACGGCCATCGTCTCTACGAGCTATGTGCCCCGCCCACTGCCACTTGATTTTAGCAATTCTGCGAGCTATGTCGGTCACTTTGGTTCTTCTGCGGATCTCCTCATTTCTGATTCGATCACGCAGGGAAACCCCGAGCATAGCCGCTCCATCGCCCTATGGGTGACCTTGAGCCTTCTTATGAGGCCCATAGTGTTTGTATTAGTTATGTAGGCCATTTTCAGGGCTCATACACGTTCAAAATATAGCTTGCCCTGTCACCACTTCGATACAACAATCGTAGCCGATAATTTTTCCCCATTTCCTCATCAAAGGATATAATCTGCTACTATAGACATAGCAGCATATTTGCATATTTATTTATTGATAGCAGTAGTCAAATCAAGATATTATTTTGCTTTAAATTAATAATGCAAGATCCTTGATTGCAGCTTTAGCTAAATGATCATGATTAGTCTAAGCATGTACAGTCGACAGCACATCAAGCTATACATTTTCGTTGCAAAGTCGCCCCTATCGCAACTACGTAAAATACCACAGTGTTTACGTTGACGTGCTATCGACTGTACATCTTGTGCGAAGAAGCACCTACTTATCCAATAAAATTCTCTGACAACTGTTTCAGTTGTCAGAGAATTTTATTGGGTTGTCATTTAATTACCAACAATTTTGCACTAGTTTCAGCTACATGTAAAGTAATTAGTACCGAATAGAAAGGTAACGGGCGTGAATTTAGGCAATAAATTGTATCACCTACCTCCGTATTGTGTCGATTCCTGAACGAAGAATATAAGGGGTATTGTAACAATTTAATTACATTCCCCCTTCGCAATAATTACTAGTACAATCACATTACTTCTTCCCTAATTACGTTTTAATCACTCAAAGCTTAAGCCTGAAGGCGGGAATGAGATCGACGAGGGTCCAAAACGAAGTCGACGTCGACTCTAGCCGTCTCTTTTCATTTTGTATGCTACTTGTTATGTGGGAAAAAGAGGGTAGAGAAGGTTAAAGTTGATCCACTGAATCTTGATTGACCACTAAATGTTCCTTATGTGAAAGGACTGGAAATTCAGTTGTACTTTTTATGTTGCTGTAGATGGAAGACTTGATTTTTGGTAAAAAAACATACCTATTTAAATAAGCATAATATGATAAGGTTAAGATGAGCTAGCTATAGGTACTTTAACTACGTGTATTAAAGGGTGGGCATTTTATCATGAAAACAGTCGCAGTCATGTACACAGTACGATTCTATTGAAGTAAAAACTTGTTGAAAAGCTTCTAATTTTTTTTTAATTTACAACAGGGGAAACTACGAGAAATAATAATAATGATGATAATCACCTGTTTCCGTCTGTCCATCGGGAGTGTTCATTTTCCTTGGCAGCACTGGACACGTCCACTGCCGAGTGCCTGTAACAATCACACATAAATTAAATTAATAAAATTGGTCTACCAATAAGTACAAGCATTAATTAGACAAGTTTTGGGAAAAATGTTTTTAAAGAATAAATTAATTGTTTTCAACCTTTTGGGAGTATAAATGTGTCAAGATTAATTTCATTTCGTAAAATAGATATTATATTAGTAACTAGCTCTTGACCATGGCTTCGCTCGCGTGTATATCACAGAAAATCTGTCACATATTTTAGATACACAACATCCCATTTTTCCTTAATCTTAAAACTATTTCTAAACTTCATCTAAATCGGTTCATCCAGCAGTTAAGGCGTGAGGAGTAACATACAGATACAGTTTCGCATTATTAGTACGGATTTAAGTATTCGTTTCAGCCAAATGACGTCCACTGCTGGACAAAGGCCTCCCCAAGGTTTTCCACAATGATCGCTCCTGCGCTGCCCGCATCCAGGCTCTTCGCGCGACCTTTACAAGGTCGTCGGTCCACCTAGTAGGAGGCCAGCCCACGCTACGTCTTCCAGTCCGTGGTCGCCACTCGACGGAGTTAAGTATATCATTAATTAAGGTATCTTTATATTAACCTCAAGACACACGATACCAGTTAATAATCTTATAGGGTCTGTAACGCGATCCGTGTGAGTGCTAGGGTATTTTCCTTATTGCTATGACAGGAGGGTCGAGAGTGGTCGCGCACTTAGCTTGTATTGTCGTCTTACACCCACTATTAACTAAATGATTGTGTGGACGCCGCCTTAGGACGCGGCCTCACTTTGTACTAGTATTACACTATTGTACGGGACTAATCCCACCTCTCGTTCCCACCGCTGCAACTCCTGTGTAGCCAGGATCTACAGCTTGACCGCCATAAAAACCCAACCAGTGAAGGTCAAGTTTGTCCTGGGGGAAAGTTAAACTGTCATTGGACCCGCAACGAAATTAATCAGAATAACATAGGAGGAGTTCGAAGTTAAGGTTCGACTTCCCTCCATTGCAAAGCGGATGACAGGTGACAAATAAAGGATTCATAACCTTTAAGAAAAGAGGAATCCACCACCATTCAACACCGAGGAATCTATTTGCCTGCGTCTCACGCTGGAAAGTGATGATTTATCCGATGTGTTTTGTTTTACATCAAATTATCATCTTCTTATCTTTCTTTACCTCTCAGCTGCCAGTGAAGCCCCGGCCCTAGTGTAGAATAACTCAATCCAGTGTAATGTCTGGGTGACCCACATACCCGATCGCCTCACGCCAATCAAGCTTTGATGCTGTGACTGCACCCGGAACCGTTCAGCAAATCCAGATGCTGATTTAATTACCGCATGCACACAGTACAGGGGAACAGTAAGAGGGTCTTGTATTTGTACTCACACGTGCGTGAAAACAAGGGTAAATAAACGATTGATTAATGGTCAAAGTAATCGTCATCAACATCGGACGAAGCACACTTATCAACTGGAACCGAAACGGATCGTAACCGTATCAACTCGAGGCAGTCAGTATTCTTTGTATGAAACTCCTACTGCAACGCTCACTTATCCGTACCGTAACGTAAACGCCTCGGCTCCTTGTTGGCAATGACAGCTCGCGAAAGACGATACGGTATTGATCCCTTTCTAACTTGTTGACTGCTCGCGAAGACAATGCCAGCTCGCGAAAGACGATACGGTATTGATCCCTTTCTAACTTGTTGACAGCTCGCGAAGGCAATGACAGCTCGCGAAAGACGATACGGTATTGATCCCTTTCTAACTTGTTGACGGCTCGCGAAGGCAATGACAGCTCGCGAAAGGCCATATGCTGTTGATCCCTTTCCGAGTTGATAAGTCTGCTATGACCTTAGTTTCCTCTACGGACTACGTCCCTCTCTAATTTACTAGAGGCGAATGGAGCCTTAATTCTGCATTCCTCACTCCTCACCCTGGCCAGATGGGTTAGGGAGGCCTGATGTTCGCATTTTTGTCCCCTATCGCCTTTTACGACACCAAGGTAAGGAGTGAAAGTGGTTCTATTCTACGAGTACTCTGCCAGAACCACACGGCACCAAATCAATGTAAATTTTATTATAAACTAGCTTTCCGCCCGCGGCTTCGCCCGCGTGGAGTTTTGTCTGTCACAGAAAAACAATATCGCACGCGTATTTGCTCACCGTTTAGACCTACCCTGGACTACGACAAACATTTTAAAACCAAAATTAGCTCAATCGGCCCAGCCGTTCTTGAGTTTTAATCAGACTAACGAACATCAATTCATTTTTATTTATAAGAAAGAAGACAAGATATAAGAAAGAAGAAGAAGATAACTTGAAAAAATCGAACTGCCTATGGCGGGAATCGAACCCACGACCTTTCGTTTGCCGGGCGACTGCTCTTCCATCTACTAAATAAATAAATAAATATCCTTGGACATTTTACACTGCGCTTCTAGTCCCAAACTAAGCAAAGTTTGTACTATGTGTACTAGACAACGGATATAAACATACTTAAATACTTTTTTTTTTGTAAATACATACCTACATATATTATACCTACATATAAAACATCCAGTATAATACAAACAAATATGTTCATGCACACAAAGTCACAAATGTTTGTACTGTGCGGGAATCGAACCCGCAACCTCCGGAATAGTAGTCCGTTTCGAACCACTGCACCAAACGGCCGACGAATTACTTTGACACTGGTTGAACCCGTCGAAATTTTCAAGAGTAATACGCTGTTTTGAGACAAAATGCCACTAGCTAAAGGTTATACCAGGTTACTCGTATACTTTTAATACAGGGTAAGGTATTTTGTCGTGGTTCATTTAGAAAACAATTCTTTAAGTTAGTTATTGAACATGCCGTAAAATTAAAAATGACCTCAAAATCAGTGACATGGTTTAATCAGCCACCAGCATAATAAACGTCTTTAGTAGGTCGGCTAGTTCATAAAACTTATCGCATATGAAATCCAATTAAACTGTTTATGCATGTGCAGGCCTGTTATTAGAGGACATTAACTGAGGTGGAACTGAAAGGCCCTGTCCTTTGGAACTGTTGTTATCTCGTTCATTATCATAACAATGAGCACGTTTTGCATTAATTAAGAATTTGAAATTACGTTAAAATTATGTTTCAGTTGTATGATATAGAGGCCCGTAAATTGGACTCGAATATGCGACATTTCGCTTCTCACATGACAGATCTTTCACTATGCTATCGAGAAATTAGTTAGGTACAGTCAGCGTCAAACCCAAAGTTGCCAAAAAGTTCGCAATACGTCTTTGTTACAATTGGAATAAAGTTTTGTTGTCTTTTTGGCCAGTTTGAGTGTCACAAAATATTTGATGCTGACTGTACCATGTCGATTGTTAAAAAAAGAGTTGATGTTGATTGCGCGTTTCAATTTGCAGTGGAAATGCGAGGAGCAACTTCTGAACACTGAACTTTTGAAAATGTGTAAAATCGGTAGAGTTTTCAGATCTAAGCAGGTTCTTGAAATGATTAAATAAAAGTTACCTACATTGAAATCAAAATTAGTACATTTAAATAGAAGTAGGAACCTTAAAAGGGGAAAAAATTGCCCTGACTTCATAATTGTAAATAGCCCGTGAAGAGGACATTAACTTATTACGTTTAGCTGATTTTTCGATCGTCAGATATCTTTTAACGGAAGAATAAACTTTTTCTTCTTGACATATTTCCCATACTGAAATTGTCAATGTGCCAAACTTATTTCTTCAGTTAAAGTTATCCGACGATTGAAAAATCAGCCCTTAATCTAAGACTTATTGCTAAAGCTAAAAAGTCTGTTTTTTGGCTCCAACAATGAGATAAATGTGTGTCGGTGTCAGCGTAGAGTGCTGAGTTAGTTCCGGGACAAACTCGGCCAAATAACATTCTATAACATTTTCCTCTTTCTCCAGTCACATCATCAAAATCTTCACAATGGAGCAAAAAATGGGAATGAGCTTGTTAATTCTCGAAAAAAGGAGAATGTATTAGGTAATCCCGTAAAAGGTCATTATAATTTCCAAGACTTTGCTATCATAAATCTAAAATATCCGAAGTTGGCCTCTACAGGGTATTAGGGAGGCAGATAATGTACAAATTTTTCTTTCCAAGTTCAGCTACCGTGTAAAATCGCTTTTAGGCCTGGCTTGTCACCTCACCAGCATAGCAATTTTCCTCGAAATTTTATCATAAAATACCGGCCAGAAAATAATCTCTTTAGGGTAGGTTGAACTACTTTACTAAATTAATTGAAATAGGTAAGGATTATCCAATAAGAGGAGGCTTGTTGATAGTTGTCCGGTAATTGAGATTAACTTAATTATCACGAAATAAGATACAAGGATATTTTTTGTTTCGGGATTTTCGCTAGAGCGCAACAGCCGGACAAAAATCCTTTTAAAATTCATTTAAATCGCTAAGAAAGGTTATGTTTTTTAGTACATAGGTATATGCTTCTTTGAGACCTTTGACTTTTCAGTTTTCCATAACGACAAGCTGTCTGCACGTAACAGCTTAACAAAAAGTTCGTGTAGTTTTATGGTTTGCGATATGAGAGATTTATGGCGATAATGCCATACTTATCGGCGTTATGGGAACGTTGACCGCGGTCTTGATCGACGTCTTGTTTATTTTAAAACAGGCTGCTGTTTGACTGTTGATAATCCTTCATTAAAATGTACCTGCCTAGGAAAGACAAGGAAAGACTAACAACGATTTGTCAGATGCATTTTCTGATATTTTTATTTTATTGTATAAACTCCCAATAGACTATTAATTGACACCATTCCCCAATAATTCGAAATCACAACTTTCACAAAGACTTTCATTCTGGTTTTAAAAACATAATTAATTTTAAATTGCCTGTAAATTAAGATTTTTGTTGCATTGTAATTGAAAAAAGTAGTTTATTTCAGTTGACAAAATAGCGACGTCACTTGCTTGTATTGCCGTACAAAATCTATGGGAGTCTAATTTTGACAATTTGAAAAGTAGGTACGTTAATTGATTAATGGTGTC